CTCTACAAGAAAGGTTATATACAATTTTTCCGTAGATTCAACGGTTTAGGAGTAATTAAGGAAAAATGAAATTTTTTTCGAAAAGTTCGCCTTTTCGACGCTGGGATGGTCGGATTTTGTCAACATCAATAAAATGCCAAATAATCATACGTAACTCGTTAAATATCGAAATCAGAAGGAAAACAACTTTTATTTGAAGCATTTTTCGCAATTTTGATAAAAAAAAATGTCATCCGCGTCAATACTTAATTGGATATTTCCTTCTATACTTTTTAGCACGTAGCTATTTATTATTAGCATTATTCTTCCGACGTCTGATTTCTTTTTAATTATAGGAAATGCGTTTTTCTAAGGTACATAAACTTTTGGGATTGACTGTATAGCCAATGCATCCTTAAAGACGCAATCATTTATCTGCAACCATGCATATAACAGGTAAGATTTATGATCGACTCAAAGACACTAAGTGGATGTTTCTTATAGGAAAAATTTGTACATTTGGAATCTCGAGACGACGGAGCTGGTAAAAGTATTGGACGCTCATTTTGCGAGGATTATTCAACTGGAAGCGCTGACTGTTGGAAACTGGAACAGCGTGGTAACGTCCAGTATTGACAGAAGCGTGAAAGTCTGGAATATAAATAACATTTTCGAGCAGGTCCACGTGATAGACAGACACGAGTTACAGATCGACATGATAAGGTACCGGGTTTTATTCAAACATGGGTAAAAGCAGGTTTTACTTTTACCGTTTCTTTCTGTGATCGAAAGTCTGGCGGAGAAATGCAATTTGGCGGCTATCGTGACCAGAGACTGCGTAGGGATTTGGGACTTACAAACGGGGAAGCTGATCTCGAAGTTGGCTGATAGCCCTTTGGGCGCGATTGTCACACATGCATGTATGACACACGATGGGAAGTCAGTATCATATTTATTAATCGTACAAAGATAGCCGAGGATCTTAGAAAGATATTACGACTCTCCTTAGAATATCGATGAATTTTTTGTCACAGTTCTCGTGTTTCAGATATATCGTCTCGACGGAGTCGGGGAACGTGTTGATTTGGAACAGAATTACGGAGCAGGTGTTGTTCAAAGAAGAACAACAGCACGTGAGGCAGTTGACGTTGGTCGAAAGTTCGACGAAATTTATGGCAGTTTCGAGGCCGAAAAATCCTGCTGGTGTCGAGAGTATGAAAACGATTGCTACTCTATTCATGCGAACCATTCCTGGTATTACCGATGACAATTGATGATAAATAGCGCACTACGTATTTCCACTGGGGCAATTTATTAATTCTAATTAACAGATGGGAAAACCGTGTTCACTCTGGAGTATTTAGTCAGAAGTCAAACGGGCACGCCGTTCCGAAACGTCGTGATTACTTCTGACAATTCTTTCTTAATTGCACCAGCGGCTGACAAGGGTAACAGAGATTGCATTATTATTTATAATGCGAAGACAGGCGCGTTATTAAGCAAAGTACCAGTAAAATTGCCGGGATTTAAAGTATGATCAGATAATTTCTAAAAAATCTTTTAAACGCAAGTGAATTTTTCTTGAATTGATTTATATTTTAATAGGATATTCTTTGCGTCATTCCTATGCCAAATAAACCACATTGGGTAGGAATAATCGGGTCTGATAAGGGTACTATCTTGGATATCAATAAGAAGAAGTTTATTCGTACAATTCCAAAATGGAGTGGGAATATTAGCAAAGATGGGAAATACACTTTATACGCACCCAGCAGGTAGCTTCTATTTTCACTAATTTTTATCAGATCCTGATTATCATTTGAATTTCATAGGGGCGGTTTAGAACTTCTGGAGTTAAAGAAAGGTACCACAGTGAAGGTCTACATTCCAAAGGTGGCTGAGGGTGTTTTCACTGTAATATCCATGTTTAATCATACAGATGAATATGTTCTCTATTATCACAGTGGAAGGAAGACTATACGTGTGTTTAGGTGAATACGAAGAAGTCTTAATTAAGAAAATCTACAAGATCTTTTAATTTATTTAATTCACAGATCGTCGGACTGTGAAATGATAGCTAATTATAGGGTTCAAGCAGAACTGAGTGCCATCGATAGCACGTATGATGGTAAAAGCATAGTATTGGGAACTGTTGATGGTTGCGTGTCTGTCTTAGCTATTGCAGATCCCAAGAAGGAAGAGATGAAGGAGTATATTGCAAACCTACCATCTCGAGACGAAGATGTAAGTATGCACAAAATCATGCCATTAACTGAAAAACAAAAGTTTTGAAAAAAAATTAAAGAAGCTACAAAGAATGCACAAAAAGCATTTCATGTTACGTTTGTTTTATTTATTGTACTTTCTATTGCACCATGGGTTTGTCAACTATGGGCGCAGGTTAGGGTAAACACTTGCCGCGTTGTTTACTAAGAACATTCAAGGTATATTATTGAGTATTAGAAATCGAGGATATCGATCGACTGATTTTGAAAGGATTCTGGATTCCCGGCGACAATGTTTTACAATAGTTTCCCTTTAAGTTTACGGTTGTCGCACGATGTCCCGCTCAAAGGCTAAATCAATCGGAAACATGTATATAAGCGGACAGGTTTCTCCATGGAGTTAGAAATAATTATAAATTTTAATAGTATCGTTGGGATTTACCTTCTGTCCTGTCGTTACGAAAAATAGAAAATTGCACACACAACACGGATAACAAACTCGAAACGTTCTCACTCAAAACACTGAACCACGATATAATTTCTGTCTAGCTTTGCTTTGCCTTTGGTTATATTCTCGCTGCTAACTTGATAAGGAAAGTCACTAAAACCGGGAAATTTTACTAGACAATTGTTAATTTGATTGGGTAATCGCTTGGAAACATCGATAACAATTGTTAATATTGTTTTTACAAGCTTACCTTCATATTATGAACCACCTTGCAAAATTCATTTATCTAATCGACTCAATATCGAATTTATACAATGTATTAAAACAAGATCGTTGATTATAATTCCTGGGTCATCAACATGCTTTTCATGAACAGTTTGTGGTTTATTCATTTTTTAAAACAATAATAATACTTAGAAAGCAATTATGTCTCTTGGTTTAAGGTAAACGTGACGACTGATATAATATTTATTTCAGTGGAAAAGGAAAACTGAAAAGCAACGCGCGGCAATTAAGTTCAAAGCCGCTGCTCGAATCGCCAGAGTAACTTATGACTTAAATGCGATTATACGAAACACGAGCGTAGCCGAGACGATCGAGGAATTAGATGAAAACGTGGAATAAGGATTACTTCCCTCAGGAAAATTTTTTTCTGTTATAGATGTGTATGTAGCATAGCGTGGATTTGTTTTCGTCTCGTATAAATAGGATTAGCATAAGCGAAAGGGCAATAAACTGTGAATGTTGATAATAGAATTTATATTACATTTATTCGCGTCTTTTCATGTAATTAATTTTTATAATCTTTCTTTCTCTCTTTTTTTTTTGTTTCTCTTACATTTTTCTCCGCGTTCGACAAAATCAAAGGGCACGAGACGCGTTCCGTTTCATCATCGCAGATGAAAGTACCCCTAAATGCATCATTAGAAGACCGGTTACTCTTGCACAAACCGAGCGCGTTGTTTCCATCTTAAATAACAATTTTTATTAGCTCGCTTTGTGCAAGAGAGTACCTACTCGTTTTCATCTCGTAATGTCGTACCGTGACCGGAGACGTCTCATGCCGACGCAGGCGTGACGAGGTGATAACTGCTTTTCGTTTACAAGTTTCGACAGATCGACAGCGCTACAATGAACGACTTAAAAAAGACAAAAAAGATAGGGAAACAAATAGTATTACAATTACAGCGAGTGAACGCAATATTTCAGTCAGTATCGAAGTTTAATGATTGGCGTATGAAAAAATTTGTTTCGTTGATCGATTTGTTGATTCCTTATTCACTCACATTGTATTAATAGCTTTAAAAAATATATGTTGAACCGTTTCATACGGACTTGAATCAGACCACGATGACCGATTGGTATAGTTTTAAAAAGGTCGACCCTCATATGGCAATCGAATCGTGCTATCATCGCGTATATTAATGATTTGTAAACTATTAAACGTATCTCGTAACAATGTTTAAACTAAACTAAAACACACCTGCATCAGAGCACATGTATTGAACCGTAGTTCCAGTTGAACGTGAGCTTGTACGGCAGCCTTTTAAATTAAAATAAACAGCATCTTTCCGCTCGTCAAGGATCGATGCTTTTCGTTTAAAAATCGATTACGGCGCGTTTCTTTTTTTCTTTTCATCGGTTTGCAAAATGCTGCGCATACAACGTATGTTCAATGCGTTTTGGTATCTGGTTTATAATCCCGATAATTGATAACTGTGGCACTCCGATTTCGCGCAGTGCTCGTTCATTCAAATTAATTTGAATTTTATCCTATGATGCTGATTTTCTCGACAGGCTTATCTAGTGATCGTTTGTTTTACTCTTTTTTTTTTGTTTCGTAATTATTCTGTTACCGTCATTTCCTACTTTTCCTCAAGGACTGGAACTTCTGTGAAAGCATGGTAGCTTTATTTGTCGTATAGTGCCTTTTTTTAGTTTTTATTGCATCGCACCTCCTTTTTGTTTCTGTTGTTGTTGCTGTTGTTCTCGTTGTTGTTGCGCTTGTTGGGACGCCTCCGTATCTTTAATGTGTTTTTCCACCTGCGGAACGAATGAATCCATAAATACTTTATCGAAAATTCCGATGTCTCCCTATTTCAAAGATATTTACCACTTTTTTTACATGCTTATATGCCCCGGATTCCGTGTTTCCATGTACATTGTCAACTTTGTATGGCGGTCTAATCGTGACATTGTCGAATACAACGATGTTTGCCCCGCTCCACGTGATTTCTGGGATAGTCTTTGATATGGTGCTGAAGAGTTTCTGTCCTTCTGGAGATACTCCGGCCTGCAGAGCCATTACCAGTTTCTTCTTCTCTTCAATTTGATTACGTACTCTTCTGTTCAGCTTTTGCAAATTAAGGCTTTGTGGTGGTTCACTAGTTGTAGGACTAACTTCCCGCTTGACTTGGACTTCGGACACCAATGATAAATTTACTATATGCACATCGTTTAAGGTCGGTGTCCCACTTGACGATGGACATTCTAATTACCATTAGTTAAGGAATTGTCATTGTTAAAGCTAAATATAAGTTAGTAAATGATCCTGTCGTAAGAAAGAGGACCTAGACATTGAAATAAATTCTCAGGTTGTAAATAGGTTTTTAATTTTCTTCTAACGTTACTAAAAACCCGACAGCTCCTGTACACCATTTTCACGGTTAACGAAGGCGAAAGTATTCGCACGATATGTACGTGCGTATTCGAGTGAGGAGCAATAAAGCTAATGAGAAATCCAGCATGGTTGATTGAATGACGAAACTAACCTGAACAGTGTGGCTGGTTAGGTGTTCGCCAAATAATTGACAAGCGGTATCGGGCGTTTCCCATACGAAATCGCGAATTCCACCGTGACGGCCGTACGCTGAAATTTGCGAGGCCTGTCGTAGCTAACTGCAAAGTTATTTACACCGCGGCAATGTTAACCGAGCGACGGATGACCGCTGGCACGGGATCTATCCGTCCGACGCGGGCGTCGCTTCGCAGGAATTCACGTGAAAAGGATACTCAGGATTAGCATTTTAGTCTGTGGATCGAATGCTAACACCTCGCCTTCGATCTCCTCCTTGTAACAGGTTTTACAGGCCACCGTACTCCCAATGCTGAAACAATCGTTGGCGCCGGCCATTTTTCACTACGAACTCGAGACCGCGGACTCCCTATCGCCATCTGTCCCGATTTCAAATGTCCCACGAAATTCGTGCCATTTTGCGCCATTTCTATTGCACCCGCAGACACGGATCATCCCTCGGTGGAAGTGATTACAATTACTTGGAAGACAAAAGAGTCGAGCTGTTAGGATTGTTGTTGTACCGGTCAGAAATTAGGTGAAACATTTCATTACGGTTGTTTCTTTTTCTTATCTTTTTATTCGGTTTGATTAGAACTGCTTCTTAATGTTCATCGAGGGAAGCTCACATTCTCTCGAGTTAAACTTTAATTCATAATAAACAAACGTACCCTGCCTCACCCGAAATATTAACTAATTTATGTTTATTGTTATTATACGAGAAATGATTTTTGATACACTTATCTTTTTGAAATAAAAGTAAAATCAATATCTTATCAGGTTTCAGAGATACTAAGAAATCCGTAGAAACATTTTTACCTAAGGGGTTAATCATAGTGAAATCTCTTTTCATTGTGCCGTTATCAGGGTTATAATGATTGTATTGTCGTCTCCAGCATGACATACAAATGTAAAGGATTAAATCGTTTATTCAGTTGAACACCAACTGATAATTAACGTTTTTGACTGACTAATTATGAATTAATATTCCATTAACTTAAATGTAATAATTTCTTATTAAATAATTTTAGTTCATAATTGGAGAATGCAGTTCAGATTTTGAATCGTTAATTGTTAATGGGGTAATTAAAAAATTAGCAACTCTGGAAGATATATACTGTATCCCCGGATTAAACGATCTGCACGATTATGTTCTATGAGTAAAAATAAAAAAAATGTTATATGAACATTAGCCTGCAGATGCTTTATAAAAAAGTTATAATAAAAAGGTGAGTCCAAGTCAATCTCGATATTCTGTTACTAATTCAACGGCCAGATCGTTCCTCTCTGTTCTCCGGGAATATATCAGAAAGAAAGTTCATTACTCGTAAACAATGATGCCTTTGTTCCATCATTTTTATTTTCGTATTTTCAAATTGCCAGCATCAGTCAGTTTCGGGTAGGTTCGGGGTGACTCGTCGGTCATCGGCTTGGCGGGTAGTTAGTCGCGTGGCGCGTGGCTCCGTCCGCGTTCAGTTTATACATGCCTCTCTGCGAGCGAAGGTCGTAGCGGAGCTATCATCGAGTATACAACTATTTTTCGTGTTCCCGAATTAATAACTTTTCCGGAGAGTGTGTGGTTGCTAATTGTGAGATCAGACAACTAATACAGCATGGTTACCAGTGATTCTGTTGCGTGTATCTTCGTCACATCGAAGTCTACATCGAGGTATGTCATTCATTACACTTGCGACGTCTCTTACTCTATCAATCATATCATATCATTAATCTAAATTATAATATTTGAATTGATGATAGTTACTATATGCGATGACATAATGTCCTTTTTCTCACAATCTGTCCAGCTTACTGAAAAAACTTGCCATTTTTATAAGTAAAACTATTTTAACATCTAATTTGGCAGAAAGAAAATTTTCATTTCAGTAGCGTTCAGTAGAATCTCCACATTGCTTTCTAGCATTGTATTGATATTCTTTCTAGTAAAAGAATATGTAATGACTGGTCATAGAAATTAGATTTATTGAATTCTGAACGTCTGCGAGAAATTCCTCATTCATTCGGGATTTCTTTTATTGTGTCCTACGAGAAAAAAAAAGGGACATAGTCTCGTGGGAGTTTGGTCTGCTTTTATTGAAGATAGAGTGGTCTTTCGTAGAGCTTAGCTTGATACGTAATGCAATATCTGGCGACTGACATTTATCGGTAAAAAGCTTTTCGGTAAATCTGATGTCACATAATGTCGCGGATAGGTTAATGGATACAGGGGACGTTAATACGTGTGATATTCGATACGAGTTACTCAGGGTTCCTTTGATTTTTCCTTAGATATCATATCAGCTCCCTTTTCGATTTGACCTCCAGTAACAATTTCCTTTTTTATTTACCCAATTCTGTAGCATTAAATATTAAACCCAATACATGAGGTAGCATCATTTTAAAAATTGGATAGATGGACTGGAGTATTGGAAGAATTTGAAATTTAAATATGAATGGCTCGGCTATTTGGAATGCCTGGAACTTTCAAGTCGCCGTGAAAAAATTTTTGGGGTACGCCGCACCGCCCAAGGCATTGAATTCATTGAATAAGAATTCCCGAGAAAAAATACACCAGTTAAACCAGCGAAGAAATTTGAACTGAATTCGAGCTAGTGAACCTGGAAGGTCAGTTGTAAATAATGCGTACAATTCCACGTAAATTATTCTCGTTGAGTCATTATAACGCGCAATATATGTACACGTACACCTATGCTATTCTTGCAACGATGTAAATTGCATGATTGTAAAGATGCAAACAAGATTTCAATTACGTGCAGATTCACAGACCGCCGAGATTGGTTCATTTGTCATGTTAGCGTGCTAATTTTGTTTACAAATTCTTCTCTCGAAAACATCGTTAAAAAAATTATTTCCAAGTTTTCTCTTTCGACAATTTTCATTCTGCAGATTCCAATTGTCTTCTTTTTCTTTTGCTGTGAATACTCCTAATTCAAGCTTTCAATAGTGTTGTCCTGTACGTAAACAACCCTGTTCCTGGTGTAATGGCTTGACCGTAGATCGACATGCATCATTTGTGTTTACGTGAGACGGGAACGTCTTCGCATAGATAGTTAACCAGAACGATTAATGCTTCTGAGCGTTCAATCAATTCCATTGTCATTGTTATCCAAACGTAAGCACGGCAATTGCCATTCGACGTACGCGTTTTCGATAACATCTGACGCCCGCATCTCTTGCCTCCGATGCTCTAATTCGATGAGATTCCGGCCTGCTAGACCACGTCGTCGAGCCATCCGGCAGAGCTCCGGGGTGAAACGGGAGATATCCGCGTGGCAATCGTCGGCCACATGAACGCCCGACAAATGGGAAAATAATGCATATCGGCGGTGGGTGTGCCGCTTCTCTGCAGATGTATAAATCATTCGCCACCCGTGTTTCTCCGCGCAATAATGGAATTCTCTTAGTTCTCACACGACAAATAAATTTCTTGTTTACGCCTTCGGATCTCCATAAACGGACGGAGACACCGGGACGCTTCGCGGCGTCGATATTTTATTGCGTAGACGTGCCGTTGGTCGTTAATTCAATGGCTGATGGGAATCGCGTAATCCTGCTATCAGTACGAGTATATTGTTCGATTACTAGTAATGTGCGTACACCGTCCACGTGTGAAGCGAAGAGCGTGCTTTATTTGAGACACGGAAACGGTTTTAGTGAGTTCATAGAAAACCGTAACGCCTTCCTGTTGTTAATCAAACGCACATCACCTTCCTCTCGTAATAACCGATAACGAACCGATTTCTGAAATAATGCGGCCAATTCAACAATCTGCAGCGTTTCAATAATATCCGGCGCCGCACTGATAATAATAAAAGTATTCAAGTTTTATCTAACGAGCCTTGAAATTGTTTTTTTTGCATGGCCGCATTTCTTTGGCTGGATAAAAAGTATACACAATAGTAATTATAAATGGCTGTCGGTTGTTCACGAGGCGAACTGTTTAATTCCTGACCAACGGGTTTCTGTTTATTCTCATTCACAATCGGAGAAACAAAAAGGCGTGAAAGGACACAGCTTCGAAATTGAATTTGCACTTTGCTAAAAGTAAAAACTGGTTTATTTTATGAAATAAAACGAACGGGAAGTTTGCGCATCGATGAAAAAATGCTGGATTTTCGCGCGGCGCGAAGAGTTCGTTTCACGGGAGACGGACGTAGCTTTTTGCCATCGGTTCAATCTATCATGTTGAGTTTTTTTCCTGGTTTCGATATCCGGACTTGTGTAAAGAGGAATGCACCGTTTCGGAGGCTCGTAAATAGAATCGCGCTTGGACGCGTGCTGGAAACGCACCATTGCGGTTTGGGTGACATAAATCAAGGGAATTGCAGTATTGTTTAACGCCCTTTTCCCCGAAAACTCGAACCAGGTCAAACTGAGAAAATTTCTTTGACCCTACCTCTTGCCAGCCACATTCCTGATGGGCATCCTCATTTTATTTAACGGTGAATTACTTGTCATTTAAATAAGAAATACTTTTCAGTGATTAATCTTCCAATAAACTTGGAATTCCTGTTATTATCATAAGTCCTCCCATTCAATTAATCTAACCGCGATTACGCTCCGTTTGTTTTGCTAGTTTGCGTTAGGATTTTATGTAACGACGTGCATCGTGCGCGTTACGTGTTTGCAAACGCGCTACAGTGATTACGGATGGTTTGTCCCGCGAGCCACTGAAAATTCAAACGTCGCGTCCCCGACAGAGAGAGGCTCTGCATAGTCCGTGTCCTATAAATACTCGGTTATTGCAAACACGTGGCACTTGTTTAGATGCATAAATTACAGTTCGTTATCAAAGTTCTAGCGCCTACCCCGTGAACCGGCCTGTCAAACGGATAGTAAATTAAGTTCATCTGAAAACTGGTTGTCGACTTCATAAATTGATCCCTTTGAAACTCGAGCGGCCGTGTGTACGATCCTCTCAATTCTCGAGTCTATTAATTTACGCGTTACGGTAAAATTTTCATCGGAATTTAGTTAAACTTCTAAATCTTCAGTCTCGATGAATTACGGCTTATATACATTATCGTATGATTTTCATATTTCAATACTACTTTCTAAAGTTCACCCTATCAATTTTATTTGATAGCTTATACATATACAGTGAAATCCATAAATATGTGTATTTAAAAATTGATTGACTTTTTTATTGTTGGACTTAACGAATTAATTTTGTTTTCACAAATCATGTAATCATCAATTGATGTATTTGGTATTTCATTCTAAGTAGTTTTATATATTCCATGCAGCATTTCGAATTTCTTCATTTTGTTAAAAATGCACAAAATCCGCAGTCTAGTGATAGAAATACATTATTAGGCAGTTATAATTAGACAAACGAGTAATATCCTTTTGTAAAGATGATTTAATGTGATATGTGGATTAAAGTCTCATCAGAATCAATATGTGCAATCAAAGTACTATCTATATAATAAAAAGAGAGGAATTAAGTTCAGAGTGTCATCAGATGAAGTGAACAGATCGAAGATCAACTTAGCTCAATTACTCCCAGCTGGAAATATGAAAGATTAGATATAGGGAGATAATGAGAGAAAGAAAATGAGATAAAGAATTCTAATTCTTAATGAAAATTGAATACTAGAAATAAAGATTCTTCTATTTCATTCTTTCATAATCGAATTAATTACTATATAGAAGCTAATGAACCTTCACTGCAAGAAAGCAATCTCCGCTGATTAAGTTTTTGTCATACATTATAGTACATATGTATATTACATAAATATACATTAGTAATTTCATCTCAACACCTAAGGAAAAAATTACATCGTCAAGTGGAATATTAAAAATGTTATTCAGTTATTTGTAGGTTCCTCTGTAATTCTCTGCAAGACTTGGAAGACCAGGTTTCTACGTGCTAACATGATTTTCTTATCAACAAACGTTGATCATTTTTTTAATAGTAATCGTGGCCATCGGATAATGCGACTGAATTATTTGCTCGCGTTTTTCCGGATCGTTATCGAATGCCATTAGCGTTACTTACCTCGTGTATCCGTCAGATCCCGAGATATCATTGACCGAAAAAGCGTCATCGCACCGCCAGTAGACTCGTGTCATCGAAGATTCATTTCGCTTAGCCGAAAGTTCGGGCTTCGTCTGGCAGCGAGCCCGCCGTGTATTTTCAGGGCATAGGAGACCCGGTCGATCTCTGTTTTGACTTGTTGAAAAACGGCCTCTATTTGTATCTACGTAACGTTTCGCCTATTTTCGATGTGGGCGGCTCCACTTCGTTCCTCTGTATCTGTTCCTCTCAAAGAAACATTTGATCTCTTTTTTTTAGCTTGGAAGCGAATCTAGTTTAATAAATTTCTCGTAAAGCGTGTTAACAGACGTACTGCGAGGGCGTAAATCATTTTGAGAACACAGTTACGGTTTACTAATCGGAAGCTGGTCTGGTTAGAAGCTTATCATTAAATGCATTCCAATTGAGAACTAATTAAACCTTTAGCACGGAATTCAAGCGAATCTCGTTAAAATTTCTCGAACGAGCTATTCAGGAAGTTCGCCGACCGAGTCGATCCCGTGATTATTGCCGAAGTCCGTGAGGTTTCCGTGCGGGACCTGTACGATTGTAGTTTTGTAATTAGGTGTGGGGCAGACTTAGGGAAAAGTTCGTGGGTACAGTTGTAGCCG